ACACGAAATAGGGTGAATACATCTCATTACACTGAGTTACTGGTAGTCTCGAAACCCTACTTTAATACTTCTACCCTCTTCTAAGCCCTCAGTCATATCCCGTAACTTAAGGAAATCCACAACTGTCAGTTCCTCAGAAGGAACCATCCTACGTTTGGCTTTGGTTCTGGTTAGTTTGTGTAGCCTGTCAATACTTTCTTTTAACTTAACTTCACTCATACTCGTCCAAAATGTTAGATTAAGAGGTTTATTTTACCTTGTTTTCGCAATTTGGTCATATTGGTAGGAAGACCTAGAGGAACGCAGCTAGTCCGGAGTCCATTGTAAGAATGATAATGTCCAGTCGGAACGTGGACGTGAGACATTCCCAGACGTTTCGTCGGCATCGTCAGTGAGTCCTGCCATTCTCAGCACCACACCACAACTCGTCAGAAACAAGTGAATCCGATGCTTTGACCAAACGTGTGCTAAACAGTTGTGGTATCTCTTCTTCTGCCATGAGCTATTAACATTTCCTATACCCTCGTATCACGCCTTCACTTTTACCCATTTTACCTTGCTTACTTAAATCTAGTGTGGTGTGTCCTTTTGAGCGGCTTTTATGAGAACCCTCCACCCTCCACGCTGGAATTCCCACCTCCCTTCACCCTGGTGCTGGGAATGTTAATCAGTCTGCCATATCGTTGCGCAGTCCTCCTTCCTTATGTCTTATCACAGTCTCCCTCTTGCATCGTAGGATCCGTCTGCTATCTCCCTGGTCCGAGTATTTCACTCGACCCCTGCCACCCCATCTGTGCTACTCGAGGCGTTATGACCCATCCCCTGCATCTAGGTGACTACTTCGAGGCTAAAGCCCATGAGTAAGTCTCATGTGCAAGCCTTTGCAACATTGGACGTCTCTGGTAAAACCTACTGTCAGCCAACTAGCTCAAGTCTCCGCCGCGTCTATCCTACTTCTATCTCTAATAATAAGTCTATGACTTCCTATGCCCTAGTCTCCTGTGTGCCAATCCACAAACTTTGCGGTTCAGCATTGAACCTAATCAAAGCAAGTAGTACCATAACATTTGTGGGTTGGCACACAAGAAACTAGGGCATAGCAAGTCATATACTTGGTATTAGGGATAGAAACAGGATAGACGCGGAGAAGACTGGAGCTAGTTGGCTGACAGTAAGTTTTACCAGTGCCGTGGTCCATGTGGCAAAGACTTGACCATGAGACTTGCTCAGAGGCTTTATCCTCGAATTAGTCACCCAGACGCAGGGGATGGGTCATAACGCCTTGAGTAGCACAGATGGGGTGGCAGGGGTCGAGTGAAATACTTAAACCAGGGGGATAGCAGACGGATTCTACGGGGCAAGAGGGAGACTCTGATAAGACCTATGGAAGAAGGACTGCGTAACGATATGGCAGACTCTGATCAACATTCCAGCACAAGGATGAAGGGGGGTGAGAACGCCAGCGTGGAGTATGGGGGGTTCTCATGAAAGCCGCTCAAAAGGGCACACCACACTAGATTTAAGTAAGAAAGAAAAAAAAGGTAAAAGTGAAGGGGTGTTACGATGATATAGGAAATGTTAATAGCTCATGGCAGAAGAAGAGATAACACAACTGTTTAGCACACGTTTGATCAAAATATCGGATTCACTGGTCTCTTTGACGAGTTTTGGTGTGGTGCTAAGAATGGCAGGACTCAATGACGATGCCAGCGAAACGCCTGGGAATGTACCACGTTCACGGTCCGACTCTGGAAATTATCATGCTTACAATGGACTCCGGACTAGGTGCGTTCCTCTAGGTCTTTATACCAATATGACCAACAAAAGTAGGCTGCGAGCACACAAAGTCCACAGCATCTTGGTCTTCATATCTTCGAATACATACGAGATTAGGCAGCCATAGTGATGCCTTTACTTCGATTGTTAAACCTCAGCTGGCTTAGGACAAGTGGTTCCGTAACCTGACTTACACACTTAAAAGCTTACACTGAATTATATCAGCCATATTTACTTACGAACTTACGCAGTCTCGGTCGGGGCTTTTTCTTGTGTCATTAAGCCTTGATGATCAGAGCCTGGCCTTAATCCTTTTTGATCACTGTTTTAGGACTGGTATTGCGTGTACATGTTAATACACACACCCGCATATATAAATGTATACATAAATACATAAATGAATAAATAAATGAATAAATAAATATGTAGTGACTTTACTACAGAATTAGTTTGGCTACATTTCACGATCATCCCTCGACTCATGCAACACCAAACGAAGCATGACTCACCGACACTGTATCCCACGCGGTCTATGTGAATACAGTCGCAACATCGAGCCTCTCTTTTGAACCAATCAGAACACGGTACAAAAAGTGAACAAGAGTATTTTAGGAAGTGGGCTGACCTCGTTGCAAATTTTTTATGCTGACTGAAGGACGTTTCGCCAGCATCATCTGTAGCTGCTGCTATTCTCCAAACCAAGCTACGAACTCGTACTTCCACCAACGTTCTGCCGAAAACGATTACACTATCACCTGTCTTTCTGTCCTTACCTATCTATCTATTCTTTACCATCTTATCAAACTTCCGCCA